TTGTGTGGATGTTGTTAATCTCGATGTCCAATGAGGACACTTTTAAATTTGTGGACTGTACAGTGACCACTGTTTACTATATAATGTATAATGTAAATCCACTGCACAATGTTAGTCCGTCGTACAATGTTAGTGAACTATGCAATGTAATGTAAGTACACTGAACAGTGTAAGTACAATATATAATGTAAGTGCAATGTACAATGTAAAAACACTGTACAATGTAAATACACTGTACAATGTAAGTACACTGTACAGTGTAAGTACATTAAATTGTAAAGTGTAAGTAAACTGTACAAATAAAGCGTACTATACAATCAATGTACAATGTAAGTACAATGTACAATGTAAGTACAATGCGCACAATGTAAGTACAATGTAACATGTAAGTGAATCGTAAAATGTAAGTACACTGTACAGTGTACAGTGTGAGTACACTAAGTCCATTAAAGTTTGGACTAAGGAAAGATTCTTCCGGAAGTTGTTAATATCCGTTTCTTATAGAACACACGTTGTCATTGTCAACATATCCTGTATATATATATGTAAATATATAAATATAAATTATTTGTTATGATTTTAAACTAGAGTAAATATAAGATTGAAATCTGATATGTTTTACACATAAAACTTCATTGATTCATTTGTTGTATCGTTTTGTCATCTGTAGTCTGTGTGTACTGTACACAACTGCTCCAGCTGCCTTCAAGTCGTGTCGGTATTTCAAATGAACCGGAATTTTCAGTGTTATAATCATAACCCCCTTTATTGATGAGCTATTGAATAGAACTAAAATGTCTCTAGTATGTATCGTATAATGTGACCGATAAAGGAACTGAGTTTTTGCCACAAATTCTAATTTTCTAATCCTTATATCTTTGCAGTCTGATGATGTAAACCTTTGATATTTCAAACTATCTTTATTTGATCAAAAACAATTTATAGTTTGAAATATCAAAGGTCTCCGATATATACTTACATAGAAACTTTTAAAATGAGCTTATGAAAATGTGTTGCACCTCTAAAAAGGGGGGCATGGACAAGATTTACCCCGACTGATTTTTGTATTTAACCCCCCCCCCCTCATCCATTTTAGGTTTAAGTTAAAAAGAAGCTTTAGATATTGACATTTGTTAGAAACATTAGTAAGTTCTGGAAGTTTAACGATAAGACTAATAGTTTAACTTAAAACTTTTATCGGGACTTGATAAAAATCAAGTTTTTCGTCTTTCAACGGAACAATGTTAGGAAGAGAGGCTGGGATTTGAAAACACACTTTTTTGTGTTCAGCATATTAGGGTGACAGTGTGGCAGGAAGGTAGATAATAGGGTAGAACTTGTCAATTATTTATCGGATAGTGAGATACACACATATATATATAGCTATATAAGTATATGAAAATAGCTTGGGAACCCAGCATTGACTGGAATAAAAAATTTCTCAATAAAATTGTTTACAAATCTACGAACATTCCCGTAGACCTTCCGAGTTCCCCGCTCAAATTTTGAGTCAAATCGATTAAGGGGTTCATGGGGTATAATCAGACATTCAAACAAAGATAAAGACAAACAGAAATTACCACTTTATATACAGGGTGAGTCAAAAAAAGTGTGAAAATTCGCAATTTAGTTCCAGTGTACCTGTCTAAGCAAGGCTATCAAAAATAGATCTAGAGCGATCAAAATTTCACTAAAAGAATAGAGGACATTTTTATTAATGTGCAAATGTTAACTGCGTTATTTTTTTATTCAACTGAACAATATATCGGATCTATTTCATTAAAATGGGGGATTCTTATGAATATATCTCTCAATTGGTCAGACCGATCTTAATGAAATTTTAGGATTGAATAGCAATTATTTATTATCACACTTTTGTTTTTCTTCACTTTCAATTCTGACAGGAAAAAAGTTTCGCGGATTTTTTTGTGGTACCATGTGAGTTTTAAACAAATAAAGATAATATTACAAAATATTGCAAAAATACCAAAATAAAAATTTCATGAAAAAAAATTTACTATGAAGAAGACGACGCTAATCACAATTTTTTTCACACACCCTGTACGTATACGAAATGTTGTGTACGTTTTAAGAAGAATGATGAAAAAATTCGATAAATAAAGAAATAAACAAAAGAAAATACATTTAAATCTGCAGATTTGCAAAATATTTTGCATGGATTCCTATTTATGCAAATTCAATAAAATGATATTATCGGAATTTTACAGTTCCATAAATCATTCCTTCCTTACATTATCAAGTTAATAATCTAATTTTTCAGATTCTGAAGTTTCAGAAGTATAAATTAAATTTGATGAAAGGGAGTGTCCCGCAAATGAAAGAAGGGTATACGGGTGTATGGCAATAAAATATTTCACTTCTAAAACTTCTCTCTGCTCTACAATGTTACAATTAAACATTTTGATAGCAAATATTCTATGGATCTTTAAAATTTTAATTTTGAATCAGGAAGGGTCAATGACGATTTCTCATTCCTTTAAATTGCTACCAGTTTTAGAAAAAAAAGAAGAATTTTTAGCTATAATTATAACAATAACGAGCTAGATATTTGAAACAATTCTCGCTATGTTTTGCCTTCTGGATTTTAATTTGGTAAATTGAATAATTGGTTTGCTGACTTTTCCTAAAAAGTTTCTGTATTTGTTGAATAATAAATAGTTCTTTTGAAGGTTTTAGATATATTATCATACGTCTGGTCTTTGTTTGAAGAATACTTTTTTGTTCTTCATGATCTTGTAGAATTTAAAACTACGGAAATATCTATAAAAAACTAAACTCATGCAAACAAGTTTCAAAATGGTAATAGGACTGGAAACAAAGAGAAAAGGTAAAAATTTTGAATAGTTGGTTTATGTCATGCACGTAGGAGGAGTTCAGATCCTAGTAAGTACAGGGTGTCCCACGAAACATGACAATAGCAAGAAGACTTGAAAGTCGTCTTTGATATTTGAATTTATTTGTGACATTTAGTCTTCTATCTACTTTAACATGTATGATTCTTGAAACAATTATCACATAATTCTCCTAGCCCTGGCATTTCCAAAAAGTGGTCTGCGTTTTTTGTGCTTTCAATATTACTGGAGATACAAAGAGTTTGGTTCAGATTTCAATTTTGTCAAATAAAAGCAAAATTGTCGAAATCTGAACGAAATTCTTCATATCTCGGGCAATATTGAAAGCACAAAAAAGGCAGACCACTTTTTTAAAAAATGGAAGGACTAGGGGAATTTTGTGATAATTATCTCTAGAAATTTACTTCTAAAATTAGGTTGACAAATAAACGCAGCAAATGATATCAAAAATCAAGACGACATTCAAGTTGTCTTGCATACTGTCATGTTTCGTGGGACACCCTGTATATTTACCCTTGCTAATAGTTTTGCTAGGGGGAGAAATGATCAAAAAAGTCTTTATTCATTTATTCTCCCACATTTACTCTGGGATTACATACTGAAATAATAACAATAATTAATTAGGTTATAATTACAAATGTTATTTACCAAATTTAGTGCAGGAATCTCTTAAAGGAAGAAAACCCCTTCACTCTTTTCTTTCATAGTGAGTGAAGGTTAAACTTGAACTGGGGTGGGCTAAGCACAAAATAAACTATACAGGTAGTTACATAGTAAGAAATGTCGTCTTTCCATACAAAGAGTAATATCAAACTTAACAACAAGTTTGTGCCACTTTCAAGGTTTGAACTACAAGTTTCAAACCCACATTATGAAATCTTAAGGAAGTTCTTTACTTCTCCGATAATTTTGAAGACAGTCCAGATTTTGCAAGGACCACACGGAGTTATCATTTAGGTTCTTGTTATAACAAACTAGACTTTGGGGTTGTTTTTGTTTTAGAAACAGGTGGATCTGTTTGTACAGACAATATGAATTTTACAGTTTCCATTATGCAAATTGTAAATTTACTTGTTTTACATATTTTACATATTTTCTTAAGATTATATTTTTTAGTTATGAGTTTTACATGTTTGCTCTAGACCGATGCAAACAGCCACCTATTTTAAGTAAATACTTATTAGTAAGTTTAAAAAAGTATTTTATTTTTTTCAGCATTTAATTTTCCTCAAGGTTCACTGTGTTTTTATTTTTTTACAGTATAGACACTAGACAGAGCTGTAGATCCATTGTCAGTTTTTTTAAGAATGTACAGATTATAAAATTAGCTTTAATTATTATGTCTTACGGTCAGGAATTGAGAATACAGGTTAGCTTTCTCACTCTTGGGCATTCAAAGAAAACTAGAGGAACTATGAAGTTTGTTAAGATTTCCAATCATAACTCATGAACCCCTGAACTGACTTGCTTCAAATTTTGAAAAATCGTAATGAATCATTTCAATAGAATCGACGCTAGGGGGTGAAATTTAAATTTTTTCTTTAAGTAAATTACGTTTCTTTGTAAAGAGCGGGTTTAGCAACGATACTTTCAAAGTTTAGAAATCTTAGAAATTTGGGAAATTATTTTAAGAATTATCTTTGAAGAGTTGAACCGGCAAGAAGCTTAGAGTGGTGCGTCTATTTATATAAAGTAGTAATCTTTGTTTGTTTGTTTGGATGTCCGATCATAACTCATGAACCCCTGGACCGATTTGCCTTAAGTTTTTATTGGGGAACTCAAGAGAGCCACAGAAATATGCTTAGCTTTGTTTAGAGATTTTAAATTGAGTGGGTCGACTTTGATAGGGAAAAATAGCTAAAATTATAATTTACGACCTAGTGGGGGTAAACGGCGGGAGTAACTATGAGTAACATGGGCAACGCTGGGTTCCCAGGCTAGCTATAAAAATAAAAAATTAGGATTTATTTGATATCAGTTCTATGTTTTTACTTTGTATAATTGTTGCGTGAGAGCGTTAAATCATTTATCATATTTTTACCAATTGTATATCATTAGGAGGCCATTGACATGGACATTGACATCTGACTTTATTAATTTAATATTCTATACAATTCTTTAGTAAAAATCAGTTCTTTTTAATCAACTGAGTTGAGAGGTAAAAATAGATTTAGGGTTTGTAAAAAATGCAGAAATTGTTCACAATTGTTGTTCATTGGTTTTTGGCTCAAAATAATGAATTGTTCTGAAAAGAAGTTTCCTACCCCTGTTTTCTTAGATGTCCAATGTACTTTTTCCCGTATTATAGAGGATGGTCAATAATAATTGCAGAATACTTTATTTATATCTTATTTTTTGGATTAGGATGAAAACAATTTTACTGGCTCTCTGTTTGATTCCTCTTATTTTTGCAGATTCAAAAACTAGGGTAGGTATATTTTAATTATTAACGAACAATGAAGATTGCATAATGAAATCTATATATATAAAGTTGTCATCTCTGTTTGTCTGTCAGTCTGTTTGTTTGTCCGATCATAACTTACGGAACCCTAAGATGGAATTTAAAGAATTTGAGCCGCGTTTTAAATCTGCCAAAACCCGGTTTAAATTAAGCGCCGGCTTAAATCTTGAAACATTTGATATAATTTTAGGTGGAACCAACCATATTTAAGCCGTGGCTTGAATTTAAACCGCCTCTCAAATTCTTTAAAATCGGGCAAACGACTGATTTGCCTTAAATTTTGATTGGGGAACTCCGGAATGTTTTTTGCTTGGTTTTGAGATTCTAAGATGAGTGGATTGACTTTAATATCGAAAATTTAGTTAGTCTGTTTTGTTAAGACTACTTTATGACCGGCTAATACTAAGAATTTGTAATTTACCTGCTTTAATTAGGATTCTTTAAATGACCTGTTAATATTAGGATTCTTTAAATGACCTGTTAATACTGAGATTCTGTAAGCAACCTGTTTTAATTATGATTCTATAAATGACCTGCTTATACCAAGATTTTGTAAATGACCTGCTTTAATTAGAATTCTTTAAATGACCCATTAATACTGAGATTCTGTAAATGCCCTGCTATTTTTACAATGATTCTGTAAATGACCTATCAATATTAAGAGTCTGTAAATGAACTATTATTATTAGGATTCTGTAAATGACCTGCTTTAATTCGGATTCTGTAAAGAACCTGCTAATACTAAGATTCTGTAAATGACCTGCTTGAATAAGAATTCTGTAAGTGACCTACTATAATTATCATTAGGATTCTGTCTATGACCTATTATTATTAGGATTCTGTAAATGACCTGCTTAAATTAGGATAAGCTGTAAATGACCTGTTTTAATTAGTTTTCTGTAAAGGACCTGCTTTAATAAGGATTCTGAAATTGACCTGCTAGATAAGATAAGATAAGATATATTTTATAGCTAACAATACATATAATATTATTGACATAGAAGTCCGCTAAATAAAAGAAATAACGACTTTTCGATAACTTTCTTGAATTATTTGAAATGTAAAAGTTTTAAAATAGTTTCCTAAAGAAGGATTATCTTAAATGGTTGAAAAATAAAAAGGCACTATTGATGGATAATGGTGATCATGATCATAGGGAACAGTTGGAGCTTCATGTTGGTGGTAAGCAGGTCAGCAATATCTTGACAGCTGGTTCCCTCACATCTAGGCTTCAGTCCCGGGGGGAGATCGCAGTTTTATCATTGGTGCTGGGGTTGAGGACTCTGTCAGCTCAGGGCACAATAAGCTTTGTATCATTGGTGCTAGGGTGAGGTCTTCGTCAGCTCTTAGGTTGCACGATAAATTTTGAAACATGTTGGCTTAGATGTTAGCATTCGCTGCAAGGCTAGATATCTGTAGCTCCATGAAGGAGTCAGGCCAGCCGTAGATGTAAGCGTTCCGACTGATATACCCNGGGGGGGGGGGGGGGGGGGGGAGAGAAGGAACGCGGACTACATATCAACCAACCTGAAAAAGATGTCTGTATCAAGAATATTATGCGGTCGACTGTCGACTGTAGCACACAAGCTTCACCCAGGATCGTCTTCCTTATAGCTTGAATTTGTTTTAACAAATATTTATTGTTTACATATATATATGAACTATACAGTTAGGTGGAGATTAGCTTACACTGGTTTGGGTATTATACCCACCTAATTTATATAAAAAAAATTAACAAGTTGTTAATATTATTACTAGGATTTGAAAGTTGAACAGTAATAGTATCCAATACCAAGGTGTCACATAAAAGTTTAAATTAATTTTCAGTTTTTAAGTTTGGTATGTATAAGATGAAGCATGTACAAAAATCTTACTAAATCTTACAAAGATCTGTTTAACCAGCAGGACCTTGACGCTGCAGCTGTTGATGTTGATACTGAAGCTGAACCTGAACCTGAACCCAATGCTGAACCCTATGAGGCAGACGAAGAGAATGACCTAACTCCAGAAAAAATGCTAGTTTCACTTTTTGAAGGTATTTTTAATCCATTGATGAAAGAAAACCGTTTTGTAATTGCAAATTGGTTTAGTAAGTTTAATTCTTCATACTCACTGCTGAAAATGAACAATCAGGTTTCAAGTCATAACACCTAAACTTTTACTTTAGAATATGTTTATGCCGGCTACTGAATACTGAAAAAATCAATTCTTAAGAAATTGTAGAAATCAAGTGCATTCCACAGGTCTATAAAATTAAGCGAAAATTATATTTCAAGACTTGAATCTACTTTTTCTGGGTTTTTTAATTTTTCTTTATCAGTCATGACTCATGAAACATATTGTAGCAAAAATCAAACTCCTCAGTCAACTGCCTGACTGTCAAAATGCGGCTGGAAAAGTCATTATGATGTGATTTTTACTGATTTTACTTCAAAAAGTCTTATTTAGGCAGTAATTAGGCAATTATACAGTTCGCTGATGGCTTTGATTTTTTGCTATAATATGTCTTATGACTGTTAAGGAAAATTCGCAAAATTTGGGGACCCTGCCACTAACGGTTCTAAAAATATTGCAAAAAAACACAGAATAAGCTTGATTAATCCTTGAAACTACAGTTATGTTTGAGTATAGACCTGAAGATGCACTTGATTTCTACAATTTCTTTAAAATTTCTGAAAATTGAGATTATAACTCAGAAGACTGCAAATTAATATATTCCAAAGAAAAAATGTAGGTGTTTTCGCTTGATATACCTGATGGTTCATTTTCAGTAGTTTGACATTTCTGCAGTGGAAACAGTGATTTTTGACATCATAAAAAGACGACTTTATAAGTTTGATTTCTTTGATTGTACCTAATGAACATGAAACCTGACATTTTTACAGTGTACAGAAGTAGATTTTTTAAGCTTTTAGTAAAGCGATTTGCTTTTTAATAACATAAAATACACAAAATATTAATATAATGTCGTCCTTTTATTCTATAATTTTGTGGGTTCCGCTGTATCTTTATAGAAATATATACCTGTTGTGGGAATTAGGTATAAAATCCCTTTAAAAAGGTTTCTTTCCTTTTGATTAGAAACATGTTTAGATGTTGAGAGGACGGCTCGAGATGTAGATGTAGTGGATGAGGATGAGGATGAGAACCTCAATGCTGTTGATGATCCGGAACTATCTGAGGATGAATCAATGGCTAAATATATTCAGGTTTAAAAAATTTCTCACAATTTGTCAAATTTAATTTTCTTATTATCGTTTATTATCTGGAGAAAAGATTTTCTCTGTAAAAATCAACCCACTAAAATTAGAATTGTTAAACCAAAGGCCAAGAACATTCCCGTGGTTCTAGTAAGTTCCCTAACCAAAATTTGAGCCAAATTTATTTATGGGTTCGTGAGTTATGATCAGGGAAACAAACAGACAAACACCAATTACTACTTTATATATATATATCGATTATTGTATTACAGGACACAGACCCAAGTGAGGTAAAGAGATTTAACGACTATATGGATGCTATATATAGAAGGTATTCACAAAAATGTAATCTAAAATCTTTTGTGTACTTTATTCATGGCAAATTTCATTTAAGACGTTTTTTAAAGTTTAATTGGTTCTTGGATTTTCTTCATATAATTTCGGATATTTCTAGAATTTTTTTTAACGTAAATAAATAACGTAATTATATTCTTAGTCTTTTATTTGTGTTTTGTAAAAAAGTTAATTTTATCTAGAAATAACCATTTCATCAATGAAATAACACTAACATTACATAAAATTACTCATAACTAGGGATGTTAACGTTTTCATTTTTCAGAAAAACGATCGTTTCGTTATGATAACGACGACGAAAAACCGAAAACGAAACGATCGTTTTTAAAAACGATCGTTTTTTTGAAAAGTTCGTTTTTTAAAAATGATCGTTTTTAAAACGATCGTTTTTCAAAACGCTCGTTTTTCAAAACGATCGTTTTTTAAAAAGAACAATTTTTAAAAAAATCGTCGTTTCGTTAACGATCGTTAACGAAGAGAGGAAACCGACCTGAGGGCATCTTATCATTGAGTAGTTTTTAAGAAAATATCAAGGAGTTTTAACTCCCCCACAACTGTTAAACTTCATGTAAGACGACATTCAATAAAGTTGCATGTAATTTTTTTCCAAAAACAACCGTTTTGATAAAGTTCGTCGTTTCGTTAACGATCGTTAACGACAACCCTTCGTTAACGATCGTTAACGACGACCTTTCGTTAACGATCGTTAACGACGACCCTTCGTTAACGATCGTTAACGACGACCCTTCGTTAACGATCGTTAACATAATTGTCAATAAAAAAAATTTCAAAAACGATCGTTTTTTCAAAAACGATCGTTTTTTCAAAAACGATCGTTTTTTTTAAAAACAATCGTATAAAAAACGATCGCAAATCGTTTTAATAAAAACGATCGTTTTCAAAAACGATCGCTATTCGTTTTCTAAAAGTTCAAAACGAGTGGGTCGTTTTTAAAAACGATCGTTTTTTTCTGAAAACGAAACAAAAACGATCGTTTACAAAAACGATTAACAACCCTAGGTGGAGGGGTTTGGGGATGGAGGTTGAAACGTTGTTTATGTGTTTTATAACTAATTAACGCCCGGTGTGATGTAATTAGTACAAAAAGATTAATAAATCATTATCATTAGATATAATTAGTAAAACCTGTCTCGTAAATTATTTTTTAAAGGGAATTGTATTCATTAAAAAAGTAAAATGGAATATTTCTAACTTTTATTTCCAAAAGAGTTTCCACTGGGATTTTAATTTGTAACTGTACATTATTTGTTGTTAGTGTGCCGAATGTTGAACGTTTTGTATTACTTAGCAAGTTAAACATTGAATTTTTAACAATTTTGAACAATATCTTACAAAAATGTGTACCAAAATTTGATGACGGATAACTGAAAAAAAGGCATTGATTTTAATCATAAAATGTATTTTTATTAATATTTGCTAAGACAACATATGTCTCAAAATGTGTAAGATTTAAAAAAATAACTAAATTATTTTTATCATTTAGCAATTGAATAGTAATTTGCGTATGCGAGAAAATAGTTTTATTTTTGTACTTAATTTACAGATTCTGTAATGTAAACAGTTCATTATTTTTATTGAATTTTAAACACAATTAATTCCACTTTTTCAAAAAAAAAAGACATTTGTTCCAATATTTTTATACTTTCATAAATGGAATTGTCAAAGTAAGTTAGCATTTTTTTCAAGTTTTGGAACGCCCTGTATATTTTATGTGAATGTTACTACTAAGTACTCCAGGTGTCTCAGGTCTTGTGTAAAACATTTCAGTATATCTCCAATTGACCTTCAGTTTTCAGATCATTCACCCCCATACATCCAACCCTTCNCCCCCCCCCTCCCATTTTAAACGACTGTGCAAAATAATTTGCAAATTTAAGCCAATTTTACGAACTTTTTGTTTTCTCAGAGTACAGTTGTAAATCAACTCATTATCTCCGTTAAATCCGGTGTGCAATATTGTTCCAAAAATTTTAGAAATTAAAAATTTTTTTTTTTTAGTATAAATTGTTAAACAATTCTTAACATTTTTTAAGAATATAATTCTTAAGTTTCATGCGACATTATTGTAATTTTTAGTAATGACAAAGTCAGATCTACAAATTTTATTTTAGTAGTATGTTCATAACTAATTAAGATTCTTATACATAACATGTTTTTTGAGAATTTCTGTATTATTATCAGAATAAAGATGTTCAAAAAAAGACTAAACATCATTCATACTTTTTTGTTTGACTCTGTACGTTACTTTTAAAAATATGAGATAGAAATTCCGATTTCCATAATTATGACAAAATATGTTTACCTTTATCTTATATTCGTTTGCTTGCAGAACTTTCTATTTTTGACTATGAAATGTAATAATTATTAATCGAAACCTAGAGACTAAGGAATTGAGCCTTTACAGCAAACTTAAATTTTCTAACCTCTATATCTTTGCAACCTGATGGTGTAAACCTTAGACTATTTGATCTACCAGAATTAATAGTTTGAAATATCAAAGGTCTAGGAAAACGGGTTGCTAAGTTATAAGAATTATAAAATCTGAGTTTGTGGCAAAAACTCAATTCCTTTGTCGAAATGGAAGTAGCGTCTAATGTACAAAACTACTGAATGTAGATGTAGTAAACTGAACTGAGCAAGTAGCAAGACGATGAACGGTGAACCCATGTTTTGGAGGAATTCAGAGCTGGGAACTTTTGAATGGTGGATATCGGGATTAAGGCTTGATCCACTCGTTTTCTTAATTTCGAGATTAAATAATGCTTGTTCTCCTCTTGTTATTAATCCCCAGATTAATTAACCGATCGGAATTAAGGATATCCCATTCTAAAAGTTTTCAGCTCTGGATTCCTAGAATATTTAATTATAAGTAAGCTTCTCAATATAAAATATCTTTCCATTTTAGATTGAAATAATCTGGATTTTAATCTTTTAGCGTAGAAAAGTTAGTTAAAAAACAATACTTAACATCAATTTTATACAATAATGAAATTAAGAAGTTAAATTGTTTGGCAAAAATTGTTTGGAAAAAAAAATAATTAAATTTCTGAAGTCTCATATCTTATTCAAACAAAATAATATTTAAAATATTTAAAAGTGACCAGATTGCATAGTTGTGGTTTCTTGGTATTAAACGTGACCTTTTTGGAAAGGATTTTCTTGACAAAATTCAATATTAAAAAGAACAAAAGTACAAACTTCGTATGGCGTCAATCCGATAATTGGGCAATATGCAATTATTGAATTTAGAGACTCTCCTCTGCAAGCATGGTTTCTCTAAGCTTGTCCACAAAGATTTCAGAAAATAAATGTTCTCAGAGTCCCAAATATCTGTTGGCTTTCCTACTTTCCCTTATGATATTCAGTGTATAACATACATATCGCAATTCATGAATTGATATAAACACGTTGAATAATTAAAAAAAAAAATAGTAATGCTGAAAGCAATAATTTGCCAATTGTTCTGAGCAGGGAACTTTTGAATGGTGAATATTGGGATTAATGCTTGATCCATTCTTTTTTTTAATAATCTCGAGATCAAATAACGCTTGTTCTTCTCTTGTTATTAATCTCCAGATTAATTAACCGATAGGGAAATCCCATTCTAAAGTTTTCAGCTCTGCTTGTGTATTTTTTAATATGTACGACATTCTGCATAAACAATATTCTTTACATTTGTTAAAAAACGTGATAATAACGTTTGAAAAGTTTTAAAAAATTTTGCCGAGTCAGAATTGTCCGGAATTCAGAGCTTTGCAGTTTTATTACCTGATCACACTAGTTTTTGTTCTGAATGGATTTTAAAAATTTTTTAAAAAAATATTTTTTATATCATCTACATTTTTTTACAGAGTTATACAATGTAAAACACCGTGGGTTTTTAGCATAAAAATAATAAAGAAAATATGCGATCCACGTATTCCTGAGTTTTCTTAATAAAATCATATTCATCATATTTTCACGTTGGTTTTGATTTTATACAAAAAAAAACAATATTGAAAATCGGCTTTTTCGTTGAAAATCCTCTCCAATTTTTTAAATCCAATTACTTGATGTTTGCAAAATTGTTGAATACGCTTTACTAGCTTCCAACTGATATTTTAAAGAATTATCCCCCCCCCANAAAGTCACGTAAACAGATCATTTTCTTTTGTCCTCAGTTATTAAATAGAAAAATATTTTTAAACCTTCGGATATCAAAATGTTGTAAAATCTCCCTTAACATCACTTCACGGGGGAGGGAGTGGGGATGGGGAAGTCCATGTCCTATATTTTTTTAATTTTTATATTAACCTTTTCACATTGCTGTCTTCTCTTTCCAAAACGGCCGGAATATGTTTAATCTAAAATAACTTTTTCGCATTTTCTTTTAAAACTTCAATTGGTTGGATTTTATTATGGACTTTAAAATAGTTTAATAATTTTAAAATGTTTTATATCGAAACAAAAATGAAGTTTAAAATTTAAAAAAAGTATAAGTCATTTTTGATCAACACCCTAACATCACTTTTTTTGCTGTTGTACAATTTAACAAAACCGAGAAATATTGTTTTATTTTTAAGGATGATTGTTAAAAAAACGCAATTGTACTTAAAAACTCATGAGACATTGACACATTAAATCCCTTTATCTTGAAGCAGGCCTTTGTTTTATTACCGGTTGTAAGATATTCTTTTTTAACAAACGCCGCAGTTATTCATTAATACATTCATGAATTCATGCACTCATTGATTTTATAAAATACTAGCTGAAGTGCCCGGCGTTGCCCGTGGAATTAAAAAAGTATATATTTAAAAAATATTTTTTTAGGCTTTGTCACTCCCAGGCTCAAAATATGTCAGCCCATTCGGTCCAGCATATATCTGAATGTCTTATTATTGTAAATTTGAAATATGAATAGATACATGATTTTAAACATTGAGCAATATAAAACGGCATAACGACAGTAGATTATTTACTCTTTTCTTTGTTATTATAATTTCCTGGTATATAGGGATGGGCATCGTATTGGAACGAAAAATACCTTTATTTTTTCAAAATGACATCTTTTGAAAACGATCGTTTAGAAATTTTTTAAAATGACAACTTCTTGAAACGAGCGTTTTGATGTTTTCCATAACGATTTTTTTCGTTTTGGTTTTAGCCACTCATTTTTAAAATTTTACAAAAAAACGAAAGTTCCCATACCTACAGGCTGTATTTATTTTATTGTACCGTGTACAGTACTATTTCGCACAAGATACATTGAATTGCTAAGGCGAGTACAGAACAAAATTCAGTAAAATTTGGTTCATTATGCATTGCATCCTCACTGCATGCTTGCATATCATGCAGAATATTTAGCATGCAGTATAAAATTACACAAAAAAGTACAATGTTGCATTACAAGCACGCATGTATTCTTGCACATTTTTTAACTGCAAAATTTGTCTCTGTGCAGACTGCATTCATGCATTGCTTTGTTGTCCTTCGTATAGTTCAAAGGTCGCCTTTATTTATCATTCATTGAGAGTTTACATTCATGAAAATGCATTTTTTAGAAAGTATATAGTTAAAGGAATTTTCAAATAACAGAGTATATTTGACAGATTTATATAAAGTTCTGCTCTTAATGATTATTAAAGGAATTAATCTAGAGAGACGAAATATCCAAAAGGAATTGAGTCTTTGCCGCAAACTCTGATTTTCTTATCAATATATTATAGCAACCCAACGTCGTAGACCTTAGATATTTCAAACTATGATCTATGTTTGATCAAATAGTAGAAGTTTGAAATATCAAAAGGTCACACCATGAGGATGCTAAGATACAGGGATTTGAAAATTTGATTTTGTTGCAAAGACTCAATTCCTTTGTTCTTTTTCTTCTTAATAATTACAAAATAAATACATGTTACTGAGTATGAGTTGAATGACCCACTGAAGATCAGAAAGCTATTAAACCCCTTCTGTCGTTCCTCCCCCCCCCCTTCATCAGTCTGACCGGAAGTGCCTGGTGTGAGGTCTCCTAAAACAATGTGGAAAGAAGGATTCGTTTACAATTATGCTTAAACTAACTTCCGGTGAATCCGTCACTATGGGTGATACTTAAAGACGGAAGGGGAGGGGGAAGGTAACGTTAACAAGGGGATGGGGAAACTGAAAATTCAGCATACATTAAATTGTTTTTGCATCACTTAATGATGTGTTTGTCACTTTAACCTCAATACAATCAGAGTTGGAGGGAGAATGTGTATGAAGGGGGGGGGGGGTAAGATTTAGGGATAACTAGAGAGAAGGAAGGGGTTTGTATCGATCAACATAGACTACTGAAAGGTATGTGCAATTAAGATTGCTAGCATTAGCAAATGGTGATATTGTTTACAACCAGTTTCCTTCACATTATGACCCTAGTCGATCGACACAAAAAAGATGTTGATAAGTAAAGTAGATTTTTATATTATGTTTTACTCGGTTCCCCGTAGTTGAATAAAATTTTGATGTTTCACTAAAGCTAGCAAATTGCTATTTGGAAATAGAGATGGGCATCGTTTTGAGAACGAACGGCGTTTTCCAAAACGAACAAAATTGTATTCGTTTAGAATGATTTGATTGAACGTTCGTTCAGTTAGAACGCAAACGAAAAAAGATGGAGAATTAACAAACATTCTAAAAATAAACGAATTATAAAAACGAATCTCTAATTTAGAATAATCTTGAAAATTGAAAGCAGATTTTCACTTTAAATCGGTTTTAAAACAGTGTTGATGATTGATCTATTTTTTTTGGTTTGAAAAACGATTGATATCATAAAATGCTAAGAGCATTAAAAAAGCAATTTAAAAACAACATGGTGGATGAAGAAAGTAAAGAAATGTTACAGTTTGGACTTGACATGATTTTTGATAAATATATTTCTTTTTACTGATTTAATTTACCTCGCTCTATTAAAGTTTTTAACGAGAAACCGTGCTGTAGCCTGTAGATCTGACAGATTGGACAGCTGAAAGGACCCCTCGTCAAACTTTTTTTTATCAAAATATTTATTCCGGTTCTCTAATAAATTTTTACAACTTTTGCTACATATTGTTTTACGTTTAAAGCAATTTTATATAAATTAAATTTTACATCGTACTAAGAATATAAAAAATTTGCATTAACGATTGATTTTGAATTTTTTTTTAACATTAAATTATTTTTGCTAGAATTTAAATTTGCACCGTGTTTGTTGACGTTAAAAGGCATTTACACATCACATATTAAAATTCGACATTTTTTATAAATGGTATTTTCAGAGAATATAGAAAAAAAATATTTTGCTCTTACATTTTGATCTTTATATCAGCGAAAATTAAAAATGAGGATACATATATTTAATGTCGCTAGATAGACGTTGTTCTTCTTTGGTTCGTTTCTATCCAGCTTCGGACTCCGGTTTCCCATCCTATAGGTTAGTTATATTTTTTATCCAGATTAACCCATTAGGGGTGTGAGACATAGTTCAGTTTAACAAGGTACACAATAATAAGTATTAATATAGTTTTTAGTTTTAGATTTAAAAGATAGAAGATTACATACAAAGAAATGGGAAAAAGAAATTTTACTTTTACACGATTCTTTCAGTATGGAATTGTTTTATAAGATATCCATACGTCTTTATATTGACTTAACATTTATGTCACGTGCAAGAAAATCGACTATCTAAATGTGGTTTTTTTTTCCAATGGCATTCGATTTCTAGTGAGAATAGTGGAGATAAAATATCGGCACTTGCGCAAACATCGAGCGGTACAAACATCAGACTTCTGACAAAATTCGGACCAGTACAAACGTCGGGCTAAGATTTGGATTTTAATATTAAAATTTAGAAAAATTATGTCCTCAGGGCGCTTCGCGCTTATCTTCTATTTCAATTTACACATTATCTTTATACACCATGTAAAACAAAAACAAAAAAGTTCGCGGATTTTATAAAAAATTTCACGGAATTTTTAAAATCGAATTTTGTTGAAGGCTAATTTTTGAAATTTGTATCATTCATAAACCTTTCCTGGGGTCATGTGTAGTCCCACACAAAATTTGGGCCTGATCGGTTAACCCTATCCCTGCTGGGGTACTTGAAAACCAGGATATGCTGGGGGGGGGGGGTCAATTTGACCCCCCCCTCTCTAAATCCCATGTTTTATGTCCAAATATGACAAATGATACACCATTAGAAAGCTCTTGTGCTCTACTTTTAGAATCTGCCAAAAAAATTGCAAATTTGCAAAAATTGAATTTTTTATCGCAAAATCCAGTTATACAGTAAAAAAGTTTGCAAAAAAAAATTTGTCCAAAAAATGAAAAATTATACATTTTTGAAAAGCCCTTGACCATGCCATTTCAAATATGCAAAAATCTTTGCAAAATTTTAAAGAAAAACTAAAAATGTGCAAATTTCCTTTGACAGGTTGTTTGCAAAAAATTTGCAATTTTTTTTTCGCAAAACTTGTGCAATCCGTTTCCTTATGTCATAGGTTTTCCAAAAAGCTAAATTTTATCAAAATCTGACAAGTGAAAGTGGGTCAAAACAAAGATTTAGTTTGTTACAGGCAAAAGCAGTCATTCAGGCAGTGTGCCTGAGGACTCAGGCAGTTAGTATTAAAGCCCGGTTTTAGGGAGGGAGGGCTTTGGGTATGTAAGAAAAGTCAGAAAATTTTAACAGCCTCAGACCAATACTTTTTGAGTTATGTAAAAAAAACTACAGGGGGGGGGGTCAAATTGACCCCCCCCCCCAGCAGGAATAGGGTTAAGCCGTTTTGACGTTTTTTGGACACAAACAAACAGACAGACAAACAAAGTGTATAGATAGATGCCCATTTCCTTCATTAAAAATTCAAAATCCCGCTAAGTCTGAGGATGGAGGAAGCAACCTATACTCAATAAAATTAATAAAAACAATTCTGTTTTTATACAGTGTTACTCACAAAGAATGAGACGTTTTCTTTCATTTTTATTTTAAAAAGTGAGTGATTCTTAATTTATTTTTTATAATAATGGTCTCTCGAAATTAACTGATTTTTAAAGGTTTCTTTTGTTTGACTTGTGTCCTAAGTTAGTACTATCATACCTTTGTATCATCCAACAATTGCAAATTAATCGAAAGTTTGCACTAGTACCCAAAAATCTACCAAATTTTTTTATCAATAAACATCTGGAATTATCTTTAAGGTTTTTATCTTTTTAATACCCTTGTATATTGAAAATGATAATATTTGCCATTTTTGGGCTTTTCCACGATGGGGGGTCACAATTTTAGATTTCGGACTGGGGAGTTTTGGGGGAGCTGTCATTCAAAACTATTAGCCCAGAAAAATGTTCCCGCTGTAAATATAGTTGATCTTTGAATACATAAAAGGTACAAACAACTTCATAACAGGGCTTTCAGAAGACAACCTGGGGGATTTGATAGACTAGATTTAACGGCAGGTGTGCACTCAAGCACATTTAAGCCCAAACTCAAAAGCGAGCAGAAGCTAAGCCTCTTTGAAAACAGCGCGGGCCTTTACGCAAGGAATGTTGTGCTTCCATGATTTTTAGGCATAAATATAACTTTGCAAAACTAAAAATTCTGAAGTAAGATTTCTTGGCATTAATCGTATTCGATTTTTTTATAAAGAATTGATGCCCACAACCCCCCCCCCTCATCCAACGCCCGCCCGTGCTACCACCAATATCTGTTTGGGGGGATAAGCCTCCTTTGTTTATTTCTAACAGAAAAAAATGTCCTTCTTCCCATCGTTTTTCTAATGAATTAGCTATTTCCATTTCACGGTTTGATAAACAATTTTGTTTGTTTCAATACAATCAGATAGAAAATTGCAAAAATGTCAAGCCAAAAGGGACTATCCACATAATTTTAAGTAACACTCCATTTCAAGGAGGGCATGCCCGATTCAAAATGGAACCATTAAGCAAAAATTTAAACAAAGTCCTTCTTTACTATTAAAATTTTGATGTTTTTTATTGTGGATTCCTTTAAGAAGTGACTTTTGCACTTTTTGCAGGAGACAAATAACATGTATCTATGTAAGAGAGTCAAAGGAAAAAAGGTGCTGCGCTACTTATAATACTGCATTAATAATACGAGTAAAAGAATTCGCATTATTAACAGAACATATTTGTGTTATAATGATTTAAGGATTAATACCTTATAGATCATGTTTATTTAATTAAATAGTTATTTTTGATATCTAAGATATGATGATTTTTTTGTCATAATAGATTTTCTACACTTGCAGCATTCAGTCTCAGTCTTAAATGGGGGAGGAGAAAGCAGAAGGGATAAAGGAAGGGTTGCACCATGCCCAACACCCACACTATTGATAGTCTTTATCAATAAGATAACCCTTAATCCACTGTCTCGAATAACATGAGAGCATAGACAGGGTTGGGTTAGGGGGTTGGGGGGTTGGAGCAGTATTTCCTCCCATATTTTTAAGTCTAAGTTCTTTATGCAGTGCACTAGTGCTTCGTACTTTCTAATCTTTTATAATACACATAATTTTCACATTATCTTATTTATCTCATACTTCTCAAGTTCTCCTCCCATTCTATCCCTAAACCAATCCTCTCTTTCTTTGTGACACTTTTCAACTCACATCCCCCCCCCCCCTTCCCAACATGAGCCCATTTTATATATTACATTAAAAAATGTAAGCCATCGCCCATCACCCTTTCCCCTTAACATTTTTTTCAAATAAATCTAATGTAGATATTTTGTCTTGTGTTAAACTTGATTATTCTTCAACTGACTTGATAACCAAGCTTAGCTAGAAACTGCACTTTCCCTAAAATGTAAACCAACTGAAGTTAAGCCCAGCTTAGAACATTCCTATGGTTCTTCCGAGTTCTCTAATCATCAAAATATTAGGCAAATTAGTTCTGAGTTATGATCGGACATACAAACCCCTCTCTGAGTGAAGTCTAGGGCCAATCATTGAAGACAGCCATTTATAACTTGATAGGTCCTGCTGCACATGAATTTAATGCCATATAAAACTAAAAATGTATAATTGTTATAATTTTTTCGTAGCAAAAATAGATATTATTTTAATAAATAAAACAAACAGAGATTACTACTTTATATATATAGATGCTATATGTAAAATAGTATGTTAAATTGAATTTATTTTCAACCCAGGTTATTAAGAATCTGCAAATAAAGTGCAATACAAATCCTACTTCTAGCTGTTTCATGAATAAATAACATTTTTTATCATTATTATTGCATGTGAATATTGCCTGTTGAAAATTTGTATTCACTTCCAAACGATTTAATTTAAATTAACACGGCAATCAATGATAATTAACATCAAACTCTTTCTCAATAGAAATAAAAAACTGTAGTTCCACGTACTTTGAATACAAAGTCTTAATTGAAACACCTGTAAGTAATTAAATTATTAAACTTATTTCATCGTTTTCACTAACGAGGATTTATATTTTTGGTATGTTTGTAAGCATAAAAGAAAGTATTTCACCGGATTTTTTTTAGGAAATTAACTGATTATTTTATTCGAGTAGCAAAGTCTCAGAAATAATCTAAACTTTAACTCGCTTCAAATCTATTTTTCTATGTTCTTTATCTGTTTTACATTTGCAGTAAACCTTTCATACTGGGCCGGTTACCCACAAAGGATGAGACAGTAAAGACGACAGAAAACTCTTAAAATGTGACGATCCCGAGGTTAAATTAAGTATTCGGCCTTGGACATAGTAATCTAATGGCTTATATAATGATTTGATAAAGAAAGAAAAAAGTTGCAGTTTATTGGTCGGCTTCATTCTATAGAAACCCCGTATATTGAAATGGTCAATTTTTTATTGAAAAATTAGAAAATCTTCATGTTTGCTTACACGTCGACAAATACCCTAAACATATCAATTTCAATTTGCTATTTTAAAACTTTCTGGATTATTCTTGTTTGTGCCTGAAGAATAATAAGGATTAGTAATGAGGATCCTGTAAAGTAGGTTGGTCACGCTCATATACTGTCCACAATGTGTTCCGTTTAATCTGAAATTAATTACTGTATTGTTAATGTACATTGTACAGTAGAAAATTTTAATATGTGCTTTAAATTAAAATTTTAAGAGTTTAATCCTAATACGATGAAATATCTGCTTTTTTCATCATTGCTTTGAGTAATATAGAAACATTTTGTTTAATCTAGAGCCATTACTGCACAAAATTGTTTGTATGGTAAAAATGTCATTCTAGGAAAACGATAATATTGGTAAAAAGGTTCCATTTGGATCAAGTTCGGGAGTTTTTGCCATGATTTTTTTTCCAAAGGAATTGAGTCTTTGTCACAAACTCTGATTTTCTAAACCCTATATCTTTGGATTACAACGTCGTAAACCTCTCAAATTTCAAACTTTGGCTTTTGTTAGATCAAAAAA